ACTGACAAAGAAAATGTGATACATTTATACTTGGCCATTAAAATTTGGAGTATCACAAAATTTACAAGTAAATGGATAGAACTGCAAAATAAATATTCTGAATGAGCTCTCGATAAATCAGTCCCCATGTATCAGTGAGTGCTGGACTGGGACTGAATGAGCATGTGATCAAACCGGGTTCTCTGAATGTGGCTGACATGGGGGCTGACTGAGAAGCCATTGACAATGGCACTGGGTCTTGTTTCATCCGCATGTACTGGCTTTTTGGGATCCTAGTCTGTTTGGATGCTCACGTTCCTAGACCTGGAGGGAGGGGGGAGGATGTTGAACTTCCCACAGGGCAGGAAACCCTTGACTACTCTTAGGACTGGAGAGGAAGGAGGAGAGGGAGTAGGGGGAGGAGGAGAGAAAGTGGAAATTTTTATAAATAAATAAGTAAAAAAAGAAAAGAAAATATTCTGAATGAAATAACCTAGACACAGAAAGAAAATATGGCACATCTTTGCTTATTATTGATATAGGCTGTAAAAATACAATCCATAGATTGAGAGGTTAATTATAGTCTAAGTGACTAGGGATACAGACACATCTTGTTGGTGGTAAAGGAGAGAGAATAGATAGTTATGGATAAATGAGGGGCTAGAACAGGACTATCAAGTGGAGTGGGGATGGAATGCAGAATAAGGGATGAAATTTGGGGAGGGACAGCTAAAATTAAGTGCCACATGAAGGGTAGTAAAACCTGATACAGTAAAAACTTGCTAAAATATGTATAAATATAAAAATGATCTACATTAGATTGTCTAAACATGGAGGAGACAGAGTTCTAATAATTCTTGCTATCAAAAGAAGGTTCCAGCACTGAGAATGGGCTACATCTAATTAAGATGTTGGTCAAAGGGTTCCAATGGAAGTTCAAACAACCCCAAACATTGCCAATAATATAGATGCTCTTCACAAAATAATGACAAAGCCCTGTGCTAAAGAAAAAAACACATTGAACATGGAGAAGTCGATCTGGAGCCTACATAGATCCTTCAGTCCTCTGTGTTAGCATCTTAGGTACACAAAGGTACTCTTCACACTACCAAAATAAACACCAGCCCAGCCTAAACACTACTAATATGTTGGTGTCATGACTACAAGCTATGCTAGGGCTTTTGCAAAACAAGTTTGTGAAAGTAAACAACCAATTTGTGATTTGACTTAAGACCCATTACATAGGATGGGACACATGCCCAACACTGCTTGGGTGATGAAGAAGCAGAGACAAGATATCTCAGGAACCTAGGGATAAAAAGTACTCCTGTTCTTTAAAAATAAAATTAGCAATACAATGACATCAAATGACATTCTCCTGTGTTCAGATGAGTCCCTAAACACCAAACTCTAAATAGATGCCTACACGTCGCATAGAGCTCAGTGAACACAGAAGAAGAGGAAGCAGAAAGAATGTAAGAGCCAGAGAGGATGGAGGACACCAAGCTAGCAAGACCATCTTAGTCAGTGGTTTTCAATCTTCCTAATGTTGCAACATGTTTCTCATGTTGTGAGCACAAGCCATGAAATTATTTTTTGTTGCTACTTCACAACTGTAACTTGATTCTGTTATAAATTGTTATTTAAATATATTATATACAGGATATCTGATAAAGCAATACAAGAAAAGAAAGTCATTTGATCACAAAGGGGTCCTGAGCCACAGGTTGAGAACCTCTACTCTTATTCAACATGATCAAATCTCATATGAACTCAGAGACTGGAGAGAAACCTGCACATGACCTGCAAGTGTTCCTGTGCATGTATGGTATGTCTTCCAACTTAGTATTTTCAGTGGGATTCCTGAGTGTGCAAATAAGTGGGTCTCTGATTCTTGTGTCTTTTCTTAAGGTGTTTTCTTCCTGTTTCTTTGTCTTGTCCAAGTCTGATATGATAGTTTTTTCTATTAGTATATTTTATTTTATCATATTTTATTATTATAACTTAGAATCCTATTTATTTGCTAAGAATAGACAGAAGGGAATGGATCCAGATTGGTGGGGAGGTATGGAGGAACTTGGAGGATTGGAGCAAAGAAACCCCATAATCAAGATATATTATATGAAAAAAATCTATTTTCAATAAAATGAAAATTAAAAAGAAAATGTAAATGTTATTGTCACAAGGATGTTCACTTACCTCCCCTTGGCATATTAAAGCAATAATAAAATTACTAGAGTATTATCATTTGTGTTCTATGTGATTTATTTATTTATTACTAAATGGGGTTAATTCTAAAATGCATATGGAGGTCTCTGTACCTTTATGTGGAGTCAGCACTTGTCCTACATCTGCAAGTGGATTCCTGAGATTTATCCAATACCGTCTGACTTACATGGTAGGTCTTATAATCACAGAATCATCTTTCCAATAGACATGTAATTATTTTTAAAGCTAGTATGTTGATGCATTGGACCATTTATCTTCAGGTATACTTATTAGGGAGCTATTGCTGATGCTTAATCATTTTTGAAGATGAAGGTTTGAAATCTTGTTTGGTGTCTTCATGTCGAGCATGGCACAATAACTCTAGGGGTCCAATACTAGCACATATGCTCTTATACCTCAGACAAACACAACTACATAAGAATAAACCAATAAAAATACAGCTAACAGGTTATTGTATGGTTCCCAGCCTTAAGTGATATATATCTATACCAGAATTCCCGCACCTAAGGCTCAGAAAACATCATGAAAGAGTACAAAAATGATTGCAAGAAATTGAGGAACAGAAGTTTGCTATGAGATTGATTCTCCTAGGAATGTAGTAAAGTCAACCCTAATATATATTATATATCATACATATTAATCAGGTTACATTTATATATTTATGTGTATATGTCCATATGTGTACATATTTTTTAAAAATAAATTGTATGGGCAGCCTGTCTATGGTTGTTCTGTTGAACTTGTCCATTCCCATATTGGGTTTCATGGTATAAGTAGATGAGGACAATTGACCAGATCTCGTCCTCAAGAGGGAACCAGATCTCATTAGAGATGGTTGTGAGTCACCATGTGGTTGTTGGGAATTGAACTCAGGACCTTTAGAAAAGAAGACAGTGCTCTTAACTGGTGAGTCACATATAGTTAATTTAAGATAAAGATGTATTTGAGAAAACAAAATAGCTATTCATTAGTGATTGAGAAGAGAAAAAGAAAGATAAATGATTTAATTATCATTTATTTGAAAAGTGTATTAATAAAATTTTAACCTTAATAATATAGGAAAGTATATGACATTTTTTTTAATTTTTCCATTCAAAAATTTACACTTCCTCCCCTCCTCCCATTCCCTTCCCGCTCCCCCCACTCTCCCCTTCCCTCTCCCTCCCTCCTTAAGAGAGGGCAGGGAATCCTGCCCTGTGGGAAGTCCAAGGCCCTCTCCTCTACATCCAGGCCTAGGAAGCTGTGCATCCAAATAGACTATGGTTCCAAAAAGCCAGTATATGCAGTAGAAACAAGTCCCAGTGCCTTTATCAATGGCTTCTCAGTCAGCCCCCATTTTCAACCACATTGAGAGAGTCCGGTTTGATTGCATGCTCATTCAGTACCGGTCCAGCTGGGTTTGGTGAGATCCCATTAGAACAGGCACACTGTCTCAGTGGGTGGACCAACCCCTCACGGTCCAGACTTCCTTGTTCATCTTCTACCTCCTACTGCTCTTTAACTGGACCTTGGGGGCTCAGTCCATTGCTCTGATGAGGGTCTCTGTCTCAAAAAAAAATAAAGATGTATCACATTTGTTTATGTTGTGGAATGTTACTTTAACTGTGTAAAGGTGTGTTACATTTGAAAAAAAAAGAAAAGTATAGGAGAAAAATTCCAACAATGTAATAAAACATAGCAGATAATAAATGCATTAAATGCATACCACACTCATGGGTTTTGTGTGGCCAATAGTCAGTCCCTTTTCAAAAGTTCCCATTTCTTTGCACTGTCTTGTAGCTTCTTGGCCTCAGCACAGATAGTTCTATAAAGACATTATAAGAATATTGATGTTTCTTATCTAGGTCCATTATCATTTATTTAATGTGTCTGATTGAAATAAAGAACTAGTACTATGTAGTCAGAAAAGAGTCTTGCAAATTAGACATGTCAAAAAATGTAAAACAACTTGTCCAATTATGCATCTTAAACATTTTCAGATATGTCTACGTCAACCATTCAACAATGAAGAGAAACAACACATCATAATAAGTATATTTCTGGAATATTTGGTTTAAAAAAAGGTAAGTACAAACTGCTGCAGAGATCTCTCAGAAGTTGGGTGTATTCTGCACTTACAGAGTACACTACCACAACAGGTAGTTCACAACTGCCAGTGACTTCAGCTCCAGGGGTTCTGATCAGTGCCCTCTTCTGGCCAAATAAGGCACCAGCAAATACATGCACCTATTTACACATAATTTAAAATATATCTTTTTAAAAAACATGAATGCTAATTCTTAAAACAAGTTTCAGTTGAAAGAAAACTATATTTTCTTTCTTCCATTGATTTTATAAAATAAGTGGAATATTTTTATTGTAAATAAATATACAACTAATAGGCAAAGAAATTGAATAATTAAAACCTGACATGGAATTTTAGCAGAATAATCATTTTGATTGACACATTAAGATTTCTGTTACACCATGAATACTGATTGGACATGTTGCACAGAACACCAAAGGAAGCACTGAGTCTCAGATTTAAAAAGCAAAACATGCAAACCTTTAGAAGGATAATCATAAAACATCATAAAAGGGGAAACATTATGAACCCTCAAATGGTGACACACACTTTTAATCAAAGCACTTGAAGGTAGACCTTTGAAATGAAAGTCAACCAGGCTCCCAAAGTGCATCTCTGGACAGCCATGGCTACAGAGAAACAGTCTTGGGCAGATGTGCTCACTTAATCAGCTTTTGGTGTTGTGGTCAGGTAGCTACATAGAGCCTCCTACAACATCCTGTAAGTTTTATTCTGGCTTTGCCTCTTGTCAACTGAAGCAACACCATGCTGTCTCTGCACCTAAATCTTGAGTGTATTGGTAAGTTCTGCTGGGAATGAAGGGTTTTTGGAATAAAAGGGTGAAAATATCAACATGGGAAGCTGGATCTTACCGTAGAAGAAACATTGGCTTTCATGGTTGATATTGGTGCATGAGTTCATCATAATGAAGTGAGCTCTGACATTACTGTACAGAGATCCAACAGGGACCGGGATATCAGATCACTAGGCTGTTGAAAGGAGATAGATCATCCATCATGACCCTTTCTTTCCAGGCTTCATCCTACTCCTGAGGACTTTGGCACAAACAGGTGAGTCCAGCCTTAGCCTTGAGATACTACTACCCATGCCAATAGAGAAGTTTCATTCTAACAGGACAGTAGGCATCACAGTGTGTTCTCTGGTGGAATCTGTGAGTTACTCTTTGGCTAGTCTTCTGAACTGTGAACTTAGGACCTTGATAACACACCTCTCAGTCCTGTCCGAGATTGTACCAGACACTGCCCCTGGCTCAGTTAGGCATCAATTTTGATCAGACAAACATTTTTGGGTTTTTTTAAGACAGGGTTTCTCTATGTAGCTCTTACTATCTTAGAACTCACTTTGAAGACCAGGCTGCCCATAAACACAGATATTCACCTGTCTCTGCCTCCCAAGTGCTTGGATTAAAAGAGTGGACATAGCTGGGCAGTGGTTGGCACACACCTTCCTTTAATTCCAGCACTCAGGAGGCAAAGGCAGGCAGATCTTTATGAGTTAGAGGCCAGCCTGATCTACAAGAGCTAGTGCCAGGATAGGCTTGAAAGCTACAGACAAACCCTGGCTTGAAAAATCAAAAAAAAATATTAAAAGAGTGGGCCATAACACCTGAAGAATAATCAATATTTTTAAATAAAAAATAGTCTTCCCCTTTCTACATTCTCACCTGACCATCCCCATTTATTTTTGATATTATGATGCTATAATTTATTACTTTTTAAATATGTGTGTCACTTGACAAACCATTGAAGTTATTTTTGTGTTCAAACAACTTTGTTACAGATAAAATTTGTGTATCACCAGGACACTGTTGCAACATCTCATTTTTGCTTGCTTTAGTGAGTTACTTTTACTTTCTCCACATGAGGATGTCAGGTCACTCGTTACCAGCCTTTTTTTTCTGTTTGAAGATCTTCACAGCATTTCCTGTGCTTGTAATGATGAAGTCTTGTCTGCTGCTATTTTTCTGAGAAATTCATTGTCTTGATTTCTGAAAGACAGTGTTACTACATTTTTAGGCAGGGTTTCTCTTTTTCCACTCACTTCATTGAATACATCATCCTGGCCTCTTGCGGCCTGTAGATCTTCCATTAGCTGTAATTGAAAGTCCCTCATATGTTCTTTGCTTCTCTTATTGTTTTGATTTCAGGATCTCTTATGATAATAATATGTTCTGTGATCATAATTATTTGGGTTCAATTTCTTTTGTGTCATTTGACCTTCTTGGACCTGATCATGTTCATTTTATTCCAAGTTGAAGAGTTTTCTATTCTTTCTTCTCTACATTTTTTGTTTATTTTTATTAGCATTTTTATTCCTGTATTTTTGTTAATACTTTACTGATTCTTTAATAATTTAATACAATGTATTTTAATTATATGCATCATGCTGTGTAAGATCATCCTAGTTCCAATCCACTAGGAACCAAAGAAAAGCTCTGTGTTCTTTTACTCTTTCTTGAACTTTCATGGCTGATAATTTGGTATTGGGGTGCACTCAAAAAAAATCCTGACATTTTTCTTCATTGAATTTTCATTCATTTCTGCATTTGCCCATCATTATATAAAGCCTGATCTAAGCACATTCATTCTTCTACTTTATCATATGCACTATTGAGACAGTCTATTTACTTTGTAAATTTTTGCATGTCTTTGTGGTGTATCCATGTGCACACACATACACTCATGTTTTTGTGTGTGCTTGTGTGTTTGTTTTCTTGTGTGTGGATGTATGGGTGTGGGTGTGTGTGTGTGTGTGTGTGTGTGTGTGTGTGTGTGTGTGTTAACTGTACATTTGCTGTGACACAAGTGTAAAAGTCAAGGAAAACTTCTGGAATCAGTTCTCTCTTTTCACCACGTGGGTCCCAGTGGAAGAATCCAGGAAGTCAGACATGGCAGCAACAGCTTTACCTCCTTAGACATCAAACTGAGCAACAAATTTGTTCAATTTAGTAGTTGCATATTTTGCTTAGGACAGATGTTGCCAAACTTTTTATGATGTTCAATGATTTGCTTCCAAATTTTATAAAACACTTTTATCAGAGTTCAATTTTTTATAGTTAGATACCATCTCTTTCTTTTATGAAAGATTGTTCTTTTATATAATTTCTTGAAACTTTCAAACATGAGTAGTTTATTTGCATCATTTCTACCCGTTTGAATACATCCAAAGAACTTGATACCCTATGTCATGGATACTTTGCCAGTCATGTTTCTTGTTGTTCTATTCTCAAGAACTAAGACAAGGAAACTATCTAATGTATTTCAAACAACGAACAGCTAATAAAAATGTGTCACATGCACACTCCAAAATACTATTTGTTGGTAAGTAACAATGAAACCAAGAAATTTTCAGACAAATAAATAAATTAAAAAATATTTTACTGAGTGAGGTTACACAGACCATAAAAATGATGCATTTTCTCTCTTATGTCTTGTACCTCGCTCTGAAACTTTATTCATGGTATCTTATAATTCTGTCACTGTTTTAAAATACTGCAGTGAATTATCGGTTGTGGGCTTCAAAGATCTACATTTCTTCTGTATTTACTACCAGAGCATCACTATATTCTGGCATGTTGGACTTCTCTGATTTTCATGCACAAGTTCTTACACAAAGACACCTTCATATTGAAGACAATCCTCAACTCTGTCACATGCAGATGTTCTGTGGATGTTAATAGACCTTTACTATTAATTCTAACCTGAGAATGGATTTGGGTAAATTGGTTGCAACCCTGGACAGGATGACATTGGTGTCAGCTTCCCATGTTTCACTAACTTGCCTCCTCTGTTTGGAGATCAGATGTTTTTGGGAGCTGGGCTTCCTGGTACAGTAAACTACTGGCCACTTATCACAATCAGATACAGTTCTCACTGGGGTACTAGAAAGCTTCTGCCTGAGCAGTGTTTCAAGATGTCCACACAGGCTGGAGTTTATATGGTCTACTTCCTCTTTCCTCAGAAACATCTCCCATGATGATACAGAAGAATGACCAAGATTCATGGGCTGGCAATCATGAGTCCAAATACTTTTTATCACCAAATGTCCCAAGAGGCAGAGCAATGATATTTTCTCAATGTTACACATGCAAGGATCCTTGAAATGGTGAAAAACCTAAATGTCTGCCTCTAACTTGTCACTCAGTGTAGAAACATGAGCTGATGTGACCTCTGTGAATGAAGCTCTGTACAGTAGAACATAAGAGACAGAGTAGTCCAAAGGACTCATTCCTCCTATTTTGTTGTCAGTTTTCTCAGTTCTGTGGTCTTAGGGGCTGACTACCCTCACTCCTGAGAACTGGAACATTCACAATATATTTCTAATCCAGTATTATTAAATTTCTAGAGTCAGTGAAGGTGAGTCAAAAGCATTCCTTTTCTTTTAACTTGTTGGCCATAATTCCAATCTGTCTTCTCACAAATGAATCTTTTCCTCAAATCCTCTGATATAATTTCCTCATAGATTACATTTTTCATGACCAAATCTACTTCATTATTTAATATTTATTCAAAATTCTCAATTAACATATCTTAACATAGAAAGATATTCCATATGTACATGGTAGTTGGGTGACACGCATGACATGAAATGACACTGTTTTATTTAAGACTGTCCTTGGGAAGAGAAAACACATACAATTCTGGTCACCCCATAAAGGAAGCCCAGAACAGACCAAACAATGATTGCATCAATGTCCAAACCTTTGAACCTGTGCATCTGCTAAGATTACTAATAGCAGTATGGATACGGGTTTATTTGCAGAAACAAGGGATGACTCCAAAGAATTACTGAAAGCACACCTCACTATGGGTGATTATCATGAAAGCCAAAACCATAGAGCTCCCCACACAACTTACTGGCAGATGAATGGGTCTTGGATATCTCCTTTTAGAATTCAGCAGAAAGAGTAACTTACAGTTTCTATAGAGTAGGAAGGGTCACTGGTGAATCTTGCAAGTTTCAGCTCTTCAGTACATTAATGTTTGTTTACCTCTTGAGTTCCTTGAGCCTTTAAAGCTCTAACATTGAAACAGAGATGTTTCCATTCAGAGAAAAGGGTCAAACAATGGACCCTGAAGAAGTAAAATTCAGAAACTCAGATCTCAAGAATGAAGGCGAATCACTAAATATTTTACCCTGTGTATCTTTCTACAGGAATTAATGCCAAACCTTCACTGTCTGCCTGGCCAAGCCATATTGTTCCTCAGGGACAGAATGTGACCCTCACTTGTGACACTCACAATAAGTTTAACATAGTCATGCTGTACAAAGAGCATGGGGATCCTAAACTTCAGGTCTATAAAAGAATGCTCCAGAGGAGTCTTCTTTTGGGACCTGTGACCCGAGCATTTGGAGGAACCTACAGATGCTATAGTTATACAGGTCAACACCATAATGAGCTCTCATCACCCAGTGAGCCTCTGAAGATCATAATTTCAGGTCAGAGATCATATTTGCTGTGTCTTTTCATTCTGACAAACCTCCCCACACTAGAATTTTTCAAACAAGTTCTAGTCAGACTCTCAGCATTATAAAGGGATATGCTAAACATACAATTGGAAAATGTTGTGCTGTAACCAGGGTCAAATAAGTGGGAAATGGTCATGGAAAAATGGAGGAGTCTGTGTACAAGCTGACATAAAAAATGAAAAGGACACTGGGATACTGATAAAAAAGAACAGATTAGGGGGGAAATAGCAGAGGATTTCTGGGATACATAGATTGATAGCAGGTTCATGCTCACAATCTCTTTCTTCCTAGGAATCTACAGGAAGCCTTTCCTCTTGGCCCTACCAACTCCCTTGGTAAAATTGGGAGAGAAGGTAATATTGAAGTGCCTATCAGAGATTACATTTGACACTTTCACTTTGACTTCACATAGAATGGGAATAAACAAGAACTCTCACCAGCTTTCTGCAGAAATTCATATGACGGGGTCCCATGCCAACTTCCCAATAGGTCCTGTGACACCTGACCATGCTGGGACGTACACATGCTATGGTTCTTACAAACAAACACCATATGAATTGTCTGAATCCAGTGACCCTGTTGACATAAAGATCACAGGTAAGAGGGTGCTACCTGGTCACCAGCCTCTCTGTGATGCAGAACAGTTATTCTATAGACAGTATGCCCTAGAAGGTGAATGTGAGAAACTTAGAAAAGGGCAGACTTGGAAATTATATTGCTGACATAGATGATGAAAACAGAGATACAAGAATAAACCATTGGTTATAGCATAAAGCACAGATACAGGGATGTCAAAGGAATCATACCTAGAAATAAAGAGAAAAGGGCAGCTTTGTGAGACTAATATGTCTTAGAAACAAGGACATCCTTCTACTAATGTTCAAAGGCCTAGAAGTTCAGAATTTTGTTTGGCTTCTTTCTCTAAAAGACACCTGTAAGAAGACCTAGACATATAAGTCTGACTTGTGTTCATGTGCTGACTGGGATTGCTTCTTCATCAGTCCTGAGGTCTTGGTACAGATGGCACCCATAGAATTTCTGTCTGGTTTGACAGTTCTTCCATTTTTGTATTTGACTAACTATTCAACAAAGAATAGCATAACCCTAGGTAATTGAGTAGGCCATCAGTCTTTGTCTGTTCTCTACATTTCCAAAATGCTGTCAACCCATGTTCAAGACTCATTCACACATTCTAGAATGGGTGGAAAAAGGTATAGTGTTTCCCCCTGGGATACAAATATGCAAAAAATTTAGAGACATGGAAATATATACAAACAGAGAGACTGAGAGAAAGATTCAAATACTGAGGAAATAGTAAACTAGGAGTGTGGGGGAAGAAAAAATCTACAAAAAGTCTTAAGCTTGAATGGAAGATTTCAGAAATAGAGAAATAATAGCAAATATTGGATATTTCAAAGCATAAATTGGGGGCAGATGGTAGATTACACTTGAACAGTAAACACACTAGGAGAAACACAGGAAGGAAGATCATCATGTCCCCTGTTCAAGGAAACAAACACATTCGTGGAATATTCTATCCTTTGAAAAGAGAGATCCATTAACACAGATATGAGGAGAAGGACAAGATATAAAAATAATTATTTAGAATGAAGTCAGAGTCTACATTTTTAATATACATGGGATTAAGAAGTTATAAGTCCCAGTCCAGCTGGCCTTGGTGAGTTCCCATTAGATCAGCCCCACCATCACAGAGGGTGCACCTCTCGAGGTCCTGACTTCCTTGCTCATGTTCTCTCTCCTTATGCTCCTCATAAGGACCTTGGAAGTTCAGTCCAGTGCTCCAATGTGGGTCTCTGTCTCTATCTCCATCCATCACCAGATGAGGGTTCTATGGTGATATGCAAGATATTGATCAGTGTGGTTATAGGATAGGGCCAGTTCAGGTGCCCTCTCCTCAGCTGCTCAAGGAACAAGCTAGGGACACCTCCTTGGACACCTGGGAACCCCTCTAGAGTCCAGTCTCTTGCCAACCCTAAAACGGTCCCCTTAATTAAGATCTATACTTCCCTGCTCCCATATGTGATCAAACCGGACTCTCTGAACGTGGCTGATAAGGAGGGTTGACTGAGAAGCCAAAGAAAATGGCACTGGGTTTTGATTCTACTGCATGTACTGGCTTTATGAGAACCTAGTCTGTTTGGATGCTCACCTTTCTAGAACTGGATAGAGGGAGGAGGACCTTGGACTTTCCACAGGGCAGGGAACACTGACTGCTCTTTGAATTGGTGAGGGAGGGGGAGAGGGGATGGAGGGAGGGAGAGGGAAATGGGAGAAGGGGAGGAGGTGAAAACATTTTTAATAAAAATAATAATAAAAAACCTGGAAAAAGAAAAATAAGAAGTTATAAGTCATGAAATTGGGAACATGAGAAGGGGAAGGATATTAACAAAGTGGAATGGAAAAGAGAAGAAATACATATGACACAGAAGGGGATGTGAGGGGGAAGGACCAGCAAAGGTGGTATAAGGGAAATGATTGTGAAGAAAATGTACAAAATGAACTGTTTGAGAATGCCTTAATGGAGTTTGTTGCTTTATATCTTAATTAAAACAAAATAATAAGTACCTCTAATTAACCCATTGATTGACAAAACATTTGGAAAAAACTGAAAGTGTAAAGAACAATTGGTGAAAGGAAAGGAATAAAAATTGGTGGAGAAGAAAAAAATAATAGCATAAATATGTTCAAGATTACATATATAAACATATGTAACAACACTTAAAGAAAAAGAAGTCACAAAATGATGTAATTATAGTTTAACTTCGAATTTTTAAAGAAAACAATTATAAAATGCATTATATATTTGAATGTTTCTTGATGAATCCGATTGTTGCATAAATTAGATATCTGTTTATAAAAACAAACTTAAAAGGAAATGGTATGAACGAATGCATATAGAGTCAGAAACTGTCTAAAAGTGAGAAATGAAATAAAATATATGGGTATAGGATTGAAGTCAGAGACTCGGTAAGGTAATTTAAAAGAAAAGGAGATGGGAAGAAAAAGGGAGGTAGAAAAGACAAAGATAAATGTGGGTAGAGAGAGATCATAGAAATGGAAGCAGGGAGAGAGAACACTGAGGAGTGACTGAACACTGGTAAGGAACGGCACCCCCACTGTCTCTACCTCCTTTCTTCCAGGTTTATACAAGAAACCTTCTCTGTCTGCCCTGATGGGAACTGTTGTGACATCAGGAGAGAACATGATCTTGTCCTGCATCTCAGACCATCAGTTTGACATGTTCCATCTGTCCATGAAAGGGGTGCCTCAGGGACATGGTTTGCCTGCAGAGAAGAGCCACAGTGGGACATTCCAGGCAAACTTCCTTCCTGTTCCTCTGATCCAGGCAGAGACCTATAGATGCTATGGCTCTTTCAGGAACTCTTCCCATGTGTGGTCATTCCCAAGTGACCCATTGTACCTTTCTGTCTCAGGTAAGAAAGTCGTCTTATATGTGTCTCATATCTTGTGACTAAGGAGATCCTAAAGAAGCCATGTCTGAGAACCATCTTTCTGATGATAGACTCAGTAACATATACATATACATAATATGTATATATGTGTGTGTTACAAAATAAAACATTATTAATCAAAGACAAAGAGGCTATCTATGTAAGGGGGTGTATGGAAAAGCCTGGAGGAAGGATACCTGAGATGCCCTGAAAAGATGAAAAGAATAAGGAAAGAGATACAATTATATTTTATTTGAGAACTTTTATAAAAAGACATAGAGTTTAATAATGAATATCAAATTACAAAGTAATAAATAAGGAGCCTCTCAAAGAATCCTTATCTTGATTGGTCAGCCACATTGGGATGTGTATGTATCCATAGAGAATAAGAAAAAAGGTCAGGACAGACACATTAAGGATAAGATTGCAATCAGTTTGGACAGATCACAGATGGAGCAGCCTCCTGATCTCTCCCTCACATAGCTCTCTCCACAATATTCTTTTTTTAATTTTTTTATTTGTTTGTTTATAAAAATTTTCACTTCCTCCCCTCCTCCCCATACCCTCCCATTCCCCTCACTCCCTCTCCTCCCTTCCACCACTCCCTCTCCTCATCCCTCTCCAGTCCAAAGAGTAGTCAGGGTTTCCTGCCCTGTGGGAAGTTCAAGTTCCTCCCCCCTCCCTCCAGGCCTAGGAAGGTGAGCATCCAAACAGACTAGGATCCCAAACAGCCAGTACATGCAGACGAAACAAGAACCAGTGCCATTGTCAATGGCTTCTCAGTCAGCCCCCATGTCAGCCACATTCAGAGAATCTGGTTTGATCACATGCTCGTTCAGTCCCAGTCCAGCTGGCCTTGGTGAGCTCTCATTCGATCAGTCCCCTTGTATCAGTGGGTGAACGCACCACTCGCGGTCCTGATTTCCTTTTTCATATTCTCCCAACTTCTGCTCCTCATTTGGACCTTGGGGGGCTCAGTCCGGTGCTCCAATGCGGTTCTCCGTCTCTATCTCCATCTATCGTCAGATAAAGGTTCTGTCTGGTCCTGCCTATCTTGCTCATGTTCTCCCTTCTTCTGCTTCTCATTTGGACCTAGGGAGTTAAGTCCAGTGTTCCAATATGTGTCTCAGGCTCTATCTCCATCCATCGCCAAGTGAAGGTTCTTTGGTGATATGCAAAATATTCCTCAGTATGGTAATGGGCCAAGGCCAGTTCAGGCACCCTCTCCTCTGCTGCCCAGGGAAGAATCTGGGAACCTCTCCTTGGGCCTGAGAACCCCTCCAGAAAGAAGTCTCTTGCCGACCCTAAAATGGCTCCCTTAGTTGAGATATATACTTGCCTGCTCCCATATCCATCCTTCCTCCCCCATCTCATTCCCCCATGCCATCCCCAATCCTCCCCTTCTCCCTTCTCTCTAACCATCTCCCCTTACTTACACTCCCCCATATACCTCCCCCCCCCCGTGCAACCAAGTTTGCCTTGCAATCTTGACTACTTCCTATATCCAGGAGATAACTATATGATTTTCTTCAAGTTCACCTTCTTATTTAGCTTCTCTAGGATCACGAATAATAGGCTCAAAGACAATTAACTATGGCTAGAATCCACTAATGAGTGAGTACATACCATATTCCTCTTTTGGGGTCTGGGTTACCTCACTCAGTAAAGCGTTTTCTATTTCCATCCATTTACATGCAATTTTCAAGATGTCATTGTTTTTTACCACTGAGTAAAACGCTAATGTGTATATGTTCCACATCTTCTTTAACCATTCGTCTATTGAGGGGCACCTAGGTTGTTTCCATGTTCTGGCTATTATAAATAGTGCTGCTATGAACATAGGTGAACAAATGCTTCTGTAGTATGATAGGGCATCTCTTGGGTATATACCCAAGAGTGGAATTGCTGGGTCCTTAGGGAGGTTGACTCCAAGTTTCCTAAGAAAACCACCACACTGATTTTCACAGTGGCTGCACAAGTTTGCATTCCCACCAACAATGGATGAGTGTTCCCCTCACTCCACATCCTCTCCAACATAGGCTATCATTGGTGTTTTTGACTTTAGCTATTCTGACAGGTGTAAGATGGTATCTCAAAGTTGATTTGATGTACATTTCCCTGATTGCTAAGGAGGTTGAGCATGACCTTAAGTGTCTTTTGGCCATTTGAAGTTCATCTGTTGTGAATTCTCTGTTCAGTTCAGTACCCCATTTTTTAATTGGGTTAATTAGAGTTTTAGTATGTAGCTTCTTGAGTTCATTGTATTTTTGGAGATCAGACCTTTGTCTGTTGAGGGGTTGGTTAAGATCTTCTCACAGTCAGAAGGTAGTCTTTTTGTCTTACTGACAGTGTCCTTTTCTTTACAGAAGCTTCTCAGTTTCAGTAGGTCCCATTTATTCAATGATTCTCTTATTGTCTGTGCTACTGGGGTTCTACATAGGAAATGGCCTCCTGTGCCTATATCTTGTAGACTACTTCCCACTTTCTCTTCTATCAGGTTCAAAGTGGTCAGATTAATGTTGAGGTCTTTAATCCATTTGGACTTGAGTTTTGTGCATGGTGATAGATATGGATCTATTTTCATTCTTCTACAGGTTGACATCCAGTTATGCCAGCACCATTTGTTAAAGACGCTTTCCTTCTTCCATTGTATACCTTTAGCTCCCTTGTCAAAAATTAGGTGTTCATAGGTTTGTCGGTTAATATCCAGGTCTTCTATTCGATTCCATAGGTCGACTTCTCTGTTCTTATGCCAATACCAAGCTGTTTTCAATACTGTCGCTCTGTAATAGAGTTTGAAGTCAGGGATGGTAATGCCTCCAGAGGTTCCTTTATTGTATAAGATTGTTTTGGCTATCCTGGGTTTTTTGTTTTGCCATATAAACTCATTTATTGTTCTCTCAAGGTCTGTGAAGAAGTTTGATGGGATTTTGATGGGGATTGCATTGAATCTATAGATTGCTTTTGGTAGAACTGCCATTTTTACTATGTTGATTCTCCCAATCCAAGAGCAGGGGAGGTCTTTCCATTTTCTGGTGTCTTCCTCAATTTCTTTCTTCAAAGACTTAAAGTTCTTGTCAAATAGGTCTTTCACTTTCTTGGTTAGAGTTACCCCAAGATATTTTATGCTATTTGTGGCTATCGTGAAAGGTGAGGTTTCTCTGATTTCCCTCTCTGCTTCTTTATCCTTTGTGTATATGAGGAGGGCAACCGATTTTTTGGAGTTGATCTTGTATCCTGCCACATTACTAAAGGTGTTTATCAGCTGTAGGAGTTCTTTGGTAGAGTTTTTGGGGTCACTTATGTATACTATCATATCATCTGCAAATAAGGAAAGTTTAACTTCATCCTTTCCAATACGAGTCCCCTTGATCCCCTTAAGTTGTCTTATTGCTATTGCTAGAACTTCAATTACTATATTGAAGAGGTATGGAGAGAGAGGACAGCCTAGTCGTGTTCCTAATTTTAGTGGAATTGCTTTGAGTTTCTCTCCATTCAGTTTGATGCTAGCTGTCGGCTTGCTGTATATTGTTTTTATTATATTTAGGTATGATCCTCGTATCCCCAATCTCTCCAACACCTTTATCATAAAGGGGTGTTGAATTTTGTCAAATGCTTTTTCAGCATCCAATAAAATGATCATATGGTTTTTTTTCTTTCAGTTTATTTATATGATGGATTACATTATAGATTTGCATATGTTGAACCAGCCCTGCATCTCTGGAATGAAGCCCACCTGATCATAATGGATGATTTTTCTAATGTGTTCTTGGGTTCAGTTTCCCAGGATTTTGTTGAGAATTTTTGCGTCGATTTTCATGAGTGAGATTGGCCAGTAATTCTCTTTCTTGGTCGTGTCTTTTTGGGGTTTTGGTATTAGGGTAACTGTAGCTTCATAGAAACAGTTTGGCAATGACTTTTCTGTTTCTATATTGTGAAATACATTAAGGAGTATAGGTATTAGCTCTTCCTGGAAGTTCTGATAGAATTCTGCATTGAAACCATCTGGTCCTGGGCTTTTTTGGTAGGGAGTTTTTTGATAACAGCTTCTAATTCTTCACGACTGACAGGTCTATTTAGATTGTTCACCTGGTCTTGGTTCAACTTTGGTATATGGTACTTATCTTTAAAAAAGTCCATTTCTTTTACATTTTCCAATTTTGTGGCATACAGGCTTTTGTAGTAAGATCTAATGATTCTGTGAATTTCCTCTGTGTCTATAGTTATGTCTCCCTTTTCATTTCTGATCTTATTAATTTGCATGTTCTCTCTCTGCCATTTGATTAGTTTGGCTAGGGGTTTGTCAATCTTGTTGATTTTCTCCAAGAACCAGCTTTTTGTTTCATTGATTCTTTGAATTGTTTTCTGTGTTTCTATTTTGTTGATTTCAGCCCTCAGTTTGATTATTTCCAGTCTTCTAGACCTCCTGGGTGAATCAGCTTCTTTTTTTTCTAGAGCTTTCAAGTGTGCTGTTAAATCTCCAATGTGTGCTTTCTCCGTTTTCTTTAATTGGGCACTTAGTGCTATGAACTTTCCTCTTAGCACTGCTTTCATAGTGTCCCATAGGTTTGAGTATGTTGTGTCTTTATTTTCATTAAATTCAAGGAAGACTTTAATTTCTTTCTTTATTTCTTCCTTGACCCAGGGGTGATTCAGTAGTTGACTGCTCAACTTCCATGAGTTTGTTGGTTTCCTGGGGGTAGCATTGTTGTTGAATTCTAACTTTAATCCAAGGTGGTCTGACAAGACAAAGGTGGTTACTAATGTTCTTTTGTATCTGTGGAAGTTTGCTTTGTTACCCAGTATGTGGTCAATTTTCGAGAAGGTTCCATGAGCTGCAGAGAAGAAGGTATATTCTTTCCTATTTGGGTGGAATGTTCTATAGCTATCTGTTAAGTCCATTTGATTCAATACCTCCAATAATTCTCTTATTTCTCTGTTAGGTTTCTATCTGATTCACCTGTCCATTGGTGAGAGAGGAG